TTTTAGGTTTGAGTTTTGATTTGAACCCCAACGTGCAAAATTCCATTTCACCTAAGAATGATGTAAATGTCTTTAGTTTTAAATATTTGTTAATGCGTACTTAAGTTAGGTATGTCTTGCTTGATTGTTAGAACCAATGTTTTTTGCAATGGTTTGTTAATGCGTACTTAAGTTAAGGATGTTTTGCTTGATTGTCATGACTTGTTTTGATTTTATCAATTTATTAAGTGATTTATTCATTTTGTTAATCATTAATAAACTCTGTGATGTTCTGTTCTTTGTCATTTTAGTATTTGAACAAAGTTGAGATTCATATTACGTACCAGTTTAATGAGTACATGCTAAACTTGCAATTCAGATTCATATTTCAATCGCAAAAATTGCAAAATTGTTAATCGTGCGATGCAGTCTTTAGTTAGAAGTCAAGGTGGACCTTGGCGCATTGCAAAGCTTTAGTACACTACAATGATTTTAATAAATTGTACGTAACCAGTAGTTTTGCATACATTTCTGTTTTGAATAAATAAAATATATTCGCAAAAGCGATTTTATATTTATAAAAATAGAGATTTTAATCATATTAGAGTGATAGTAAGATCGCTCCAATATAATTTTTTATCAAACGCGATACTTAATGCCCGTTTCATTTTTCGCGCAAGAATTTTTAATAATTGTACCTCACTTAGTTTGAGGTATAAGAATGCTATGTGTTTTGATAGTGCTATTCTAGACTTTTCCACTATCAATTTTATTTTATAGCTAGAATTTGAAGTGAAAAACACATTCATTCGCGCGCTATATGTATAGATATGTAATTTCATGCTTAGACGATTTGGAGTTGGAAAGAAAAGTTTTGAATGGTTAGAATTCAATTCATAAAGATTGAGTTTAGCTTGCGTTAAAATGTTAGTGAGGTTGTTAATAAAAAATTTCATTATTGTATCAGCTGTAGTTAATGAACTATTAACGTTAAAATAATTTCTGGAGATTTCGAATATTTTTAGATGTTCAGTTATGCTTTGTTTAGGTGATTCTTCTGAACATCGTATTGATAAGAACGTATGTTGTTGATTCATGTTTATGTTGTTATTGGAGGTTTTTCCCCGAATTGTTTGGTTAATCTTTCTGTCGTTTATCTGAACTAAAACTTGTTCGATCACTCTCTTTGTATCGACCGTTAGTATTGAAGTATAAATTTTAAAATTTGTTTTAATGAAACAGATTTCGTTTCGGATATTCGGTCTAACAAGTTGTAGCTCAGTTAACAGCACACTTGTATCGGATTTACAAGGTGCTTCCAAAATTACGCGAAAATTAGTTGTTAAATTGATTGACTTTAACACGTCTTCATGAGGTAAATATAAACTTATTTTAGGTATGCTTACGTTTATGAAGTTATCATATTCGGTGAATTGGTTTCTGTTTGCAAGTGAAATATGACGTTTTAATGTTACTTGTCTACTATATTCTATGTCTTTGATATTTTTTGCAAATTGAATTATAGTACCAAAACTTCTGTCAATAGTCTTAGTTGTATTAGTAATAGAATACTCTTCGCGTTGTTTTTCCGTTTCAGTAAAGTATTGTTTATCGTCGTATGGTTTGCGTATTTCTGAAGATATATCTACTTGAGCTTCTAAGTTAGATTTATGATTTGATACCGAAATTGATTTAGAAATGTTTATTTGAGGTAAATAAAATTGAGGCTGTTTTATGTTACCTGCATTATTTGTTGTTTTGGTATAATTTAAATTGAGTTCCGAACTAGTATCTGATTTATTCAAGGCTGCTAGCCTAAGCTTTGATAATGTTGTCAAGCATTTTTGGTATTTATCAAAAAACTCTTCTAATTCGTTATCAAATAAATTATCAATTTCTTCTTCATCATCAAGTAAAGTTGCTATTTTGATAACCGTATCTTCAAATAAGTCAAAAATAGGTCTTACATATTCTTTAAAACGGCTTATTTCAGAAATATTCAATTCACACACAGGCATGTGTGACCATTGATTGCAAATCTTTTCGCAATATGCTAATTGCGATTTAATTTCTAGTTGCTTTGTTTTGAGTGATTTTAAAGTTATTAACGATTCCATCTTGTCACACATCGTACTAAACTTTATTAATTAAATAAGGAAAGATTGATAAGAAGGAATTGTAATTGAATAACCTGGTTTCTTGTTTTGCTTGTGCTTGTAGCTGTAGCTCCAAATTTGAACTTCTTATCTTGATTTTGAACTTCCTCTTTATTTAATCTTGATTTACTTGGTTTATGCTTGATTTCTCCTTCGATTGCTGGACGTCACATCCGACTCGTATGGACCAATGAAAAATTTAGGATGATGTTGAATCTAGCTCGTAAGGACCGATGAAAAATTTTAGGATGTTGTGATTGCTTGCCTTATGAAGGACCAATTGTAAATACTTTGATTATAACTGTATATATTTATTTTATATTAATAACAAGTTATAAGTATATTTACAATAATTTTAATACTGTTTTTGATTACGTTCTGACTGATTGATTGATTTGTATAAATTTCTGATAGATGATTTTTTGTTTATATATCAATATAGCCGCATGCTTTGATTGGCGCGAACATATTCTTTAAACAAATAATTTCAACTCTGCAATTCAGTTTATATAATTCTTATAAATATTAGATAATGTTACAATATTTATAATAATCTATTTGAAAACATTCAGTATTCTTCGAACATTTCGTTACGATACGGGAAGTTCCAGCAATTTGCCTTAAGGCACGATGCCACACCACTAGTTTAGTCTATAAATTTTATAATCTCGTATGATATAATAGTTTTGGCAATTATAATTTACGTATTATATTATTAGGTACATTTTGTTAATTATCCTTACTAATAATTTAATAAATTTTTTTAGCAATTTAGCAATAATAATGTAGACATTGCATTTGTCTTGTATATTATATTCTAATATTACTTAGGCTCATAATTAACTGGCATTTCTAGCAGATGACATCTCCAATGTTTTCAATGTCAAACAATGATAAGTGTTTTTTGTAATTTTTGCCATTTATTTCTACAATATTACTGTAGTTTTATCGTTTATTAAATCCTAAAAACTTCTTTTGACAAACTCTAAAAGCAATTATCAGAATCTGAATAGCCGTTTAGAAGAAGTATCAAATTATACACTCGTACAAATATATATATATATATATATATATATATATATATTAGGGCGGGTCGATTTGTATGGGTGAAAAAGTCACATACACATATGATCTAGGGATCAAAATAAGATACTTTGCCGAAGAAACCAAATCTCTAAAATGAATTCTGATGTCTTGTGCATTCACCCAAAGATTGGGTCAAATTTTAAAAAAATCCGTTTTGGCTCATTTAGAGCGCCTTAATAATGTCCTAACTGTATGACCGAACCCCAGTAACTTTGGAAGGCCGATCTATCCATGCCCATAGTTCACCCCCTGGGACCTCCCTTTAGAGGTCCACCATACAAAAGTTGCATCATTTTGGGTACTTCAACATGACAAAAATCTGCGATTTATTTTTATTATAAAATTTATTTAATCATAAGATATGTAAATAAAACTATGTAAAACTCATAAACTATTGTTTGAAGTCTTTTTAAGTTTCAAGTCTGGAAAATTTTGCACGGCCTTCTAATATCGTCGCCGTAACAGCCTCTAGCTAGCATAGAAGCGTAGAGATAAAATGCATTGGAAAATTGAAACAAAGAATTTTAATTTTTTTTTGTAAAAATGTTTTTTGTGTGTGTTTGAATTAATATCTAAAAAAAATATATATATATATAACTCAAAACTCAAACTCAAAAATATATATATAACTCATTTTCGTGTTACTTATGTTATAACATATATTGACTAATTATTTTTAAATGGTCGAAAAATGCATTTATTGGAGAACTTAATCCTTGTTTAAAATTGCTACTCGTCGATGTATGCAAATTAGAATAATTTTCTACAGTTGTGTTGTATAACTACGTGAGTATTTAAATTTATTATAGTTTTTCTCTAATTTATTTTACGATAACACCTATTAAGAATTGAAATTACTTATTAATAAAATAAGTAAGTAATAAAATAGTTTTCTCTCTAATATATTTTATAATAGTACACATTGAAATTGAATTGTAGTTTAAATTGAAACTAATAAAAAAATGAAATGTAATGAGTAAGGATTCTTTTTGATAATAATAAATACCAAACAATATTATAATTTATTCAATAATTTGAATATTTTATAATATGATTTTTTTTATAATATTTTTTAAACATGTTGCAATTAATGGATTGAACTATGGTTTCTCAAACTATGGGTAAGGAAATTTTGGGATCGCAACAGATTTTTATGTCTAATTTATATATAATTTTATAACATCACATTGAATTTTTTGTATGTTTTTTAACGAATTCTAAAACTATATAAGGACATGTGTATATATGTATATTGCTACCTAATAAATAAATCATCTAAAAATAATAATTTATCTTTCTTTTATATTTGTGTTGGGTCATCAAGAAACTCGCAATCATAAATGGGGTCGTCAAGAAACTTGCAGTCATAAATGGGGTCGCTAATGACAAAAGTTTAAGAAGCCCTGGATTGAACCATAAATTCAAATATTGTTTAAAAGAAATAAGTTTTGGCGTTTATACCCATACTTTTGAGTATGCGTTTGTTTTTAATTACCAAGCAAAATCACAATTTAAATATTGTATAATTTGAAAAAGTTTTTTTCTAATATATTTCACACTTGCACTTATTTCAAGATTTTTCAAAAGTTAAATTTTAATATCAAAAACTTATTGAATTCCAATATTTCTAAAAATTTACAAAATTACGTTTTTCATTGATACACGGCTAACTTCAGTCGAGTTCTTGCCACTCTCTTGCATCCATTCATGTTTATTTATCTATGATCTTATCGTCAGCGTATGCAGCACCTGTCACGTAGCCAACTTTCTTCTCCTGTTTGGTTTGTGTTTGTTTTGATTTAATTCTAGGTTATGTATGTTGCGTGAGCGAAATTTTTATTTATAAATTTATATTTTATATAATAATGGATATTAAAGAAATATTTAAAAAGAAAATAAGTAGATATAAAGGTATAAATCTAATAAGTTTCTACTTTATCTTTCAATAGTTTATAATAGTTTAAGAAAAATCTGTTTCAGAATTATCCGTGAATGATCCCGAACAAAACAAAGAATGTTCACAAACTTTGGAGGAAAATACTTTTAACTTATGCTATGACAAATGCAAATTAAAATTATCAAAGGAAGATTCAAGTGCCTATCAAAAAATACCAAAATTTTACAAAATAATGTGTGATGACTATAAATCATCAGACCTTATTAAGAAATTTAATGAAGAATCCCGTTCATTATTTATTCAAGAAAAAAGTTCATTAGTACTTAATAATAATGAATTAAAATCTTTATATGGTTTACTGGAGAAATACCACACAAGAAATTGTGGTGAAGAGCAATTTATAAATTATGAGGGATATTGCAGAGTTATGGAGCTAGCAGATAAAAGGGCAAGGTATATTTGTTTGTAACATTTTGATTGTATTTTTTTAAATGAAGTTATGTCAATTATACACAGCTATATTTGTAGAATTCTCATATACAGTAGAAACATGTTTATCTGGACCTCAGTTATACAGATTTGTGATTATCCGGAATACTAACTGTGACCAATTTATAAATATGTACAAACCTATAAGTCGAATTTTTGCATGATTGATGCTGCAATTTATTGAGTTTAGTAAATGTATTTAATGTAATCTAAAAAAATATGTATGTAAATACATAAGTAAAAGTTAATTTCTTAATAAACTTTGATTTACGTTGATATCTATGTATGTATTTATTATTTTTAATAAATACACAATGTTATATTTCATACATTTGATTATCCGGATTTTCGATTAGGCAACAATTAGTCCGGTAATCGAGTTTCTACTGTATCTACGTTGTTAACACAATATTCTGTATTATTTATATCTGGAGCGAATCTTGTCCCAATACAAGATAAAAATGCGACAGTGTACATGCACAGTATAGGCGCAAATTTCTTATTCCTAAACAAAATTAAAATATAAAACAAAAAGTTGAATTAACTAATAATCTAAAAAGTGTTTCAATATAAAACTGAAATAATTTCTAGAATTACTCTAGCATTTATATTCTAATGTTTTTACAAATTATTATAGTCTTATAAAAAATGCGTAGCACTAGAAATAGATTTTATTTTAATTGTTAAAACCTTAAAGCATAATTTATCATAAACCATTTAAGTGATATCAATCACAACTTGTATTGATTATGTTTCTTCAAATATTATTTGGTCTTTTAACAAACAAAGACTAACAATTATATTATTGCATGAAATGAGAAGTCAAAATGTCACTTGAGAGTAGTTTAAAATTGCCTTTTTTTATGGTGATATAAACATACATAACTGATGCATATTTATTTCTTTTTGATTTTATTGCTTTGAGTAATAATATCAATTCTGTATTTATAATTTTTTATGTTTTAATATAATGATATTTAAATTTATATTTTGTTGCAGGCATTATTTAACCATAAGTTCTTTTGTGCAGTTGCAGGAAGATGATTTACCTGGATTTGTTAACATAATGACTTTATTTAATCATATAATGAGATTAGTTTGGCTACGACAATCTCGAATTGGTCTGAATTTTTATGATGTATCTGGGCAAGGCAGTCTATATGAAGCGGTAACTAGACCTATATTATATAATTTTCCACAGCTAGTGGATATATTGATTTAGTTGTACCTTGAGAGAGAATAATAAAGTTTTTTTTGTTAAAAATACAGAATTAATGATAATGCTGAATTTATTCATGTTTACTATTGTATTGTTAAATGTGATAATTCTTACTATTCATATGATAAACTATCAGTTTTTTGTTTTATAAACTAAGTTTTATTTTATAAATACTAAGAATTTCTTGCAAATTTCTTGAATTATAATATATTGAATTTCTTGAATTATTATATATTTTAATTATTCTTATTGAATAATTTGATGTAAGTTTTCCCATTTTAAAACCTCTACATAATGAGTATTTACATTTATCTTTGTTATTTAATGGATCAATGGATCATGGATAAATGCATCAATTATAGTATTTTTTAAACCTTTGTTTTAGTGTTTATTTTATTTATATAGTTTATATTTATATATTTTTTTTAGGAGTTGGAGGCTTATATTCAAGAGCTGATACCTACATTACCACAATTAAAGGGATTAGAAAGTTCTTTTTACAGTTTTTATGTTTGTACTGCAGTTCGTAAATTTATGTTTTTTTTAGATCCTTTGAGAACTGGTCGAGTATTAATTGATAATATTTTAGCTTCAAATTTTCTAGAGGAACTGCTAGAAGTATGTATTATTGTTGTTTTATAAAATACCGTTTTAAATATTATCCTTTGTTCCAAAATTGACATATATATCTAATATTTTGTTGTTAGTTGCGTGATAATAATCTGCCAAAAGAATCCCAAGACACAAATTGGTTTTCAGCTCCATCAGCACTTCAGGTTTATGGTCATTATTTAAAACTGGATCGAGATCACAATGGAATGTTGAGTAAAGACGAGTTGTCCAGGTTTGTTTAATAATATTCTCATATAATTGTACGTTCAATGCAAAATAGGGCACAAGCACATATATAATATTCATCTAAAACTTTATTATTAGCTTACGTAATAACAGTAAATATACTGTAACTATTTTTGTTTTAGGCATAATTAGAAAATGTGCCAGTGATTGTGGCTAGGTGTCAGTAAATTTTACCTTTTGCCTGAGTTTCATAGTAAAAGTTTGCACTAAAAAAGTAATGATGACTGGCATCTGATTGGTTTCTTCTTCTCTTCTTTTTTTAAGATTATTGAACAAATATAAAAACTACGAAATTATTTAGGGAATCTACGAAATGACCCATTATTAAGTTTTAGTAGTAAATTTATTTTATATTATTTTAAAAAAATTCTTTCAGTTCAAAATTCAATTCAAAAGTGTCTTGATCAATCGAAATGCTTCTTTGAAATTAACAGTAACCAAATAATTTTGTACAACTTTAGCCAAAAAATAAATTCAAAAGCATTTCATTTGAATTTCAGATAAATTTATTTCCTTTGTTTGCATATGTACTAACTGTCTTTTACGAGAAACATAATTATATGTTTTAACTAAAAAATAATATATGTATATGAATATATACACACACACACATATATATCTTATAATAATATATAATATAATATATAATATAATATTATATAATATTTGTTTATTATGTTATATACATATTATCTATTATATATTTATATAATGAATTTTTCAACTATCATATTCATTGAATTTTTTTTATATAGTTATGGCTCAGGTACTTTAACATCAGCATTTTTGGACCGAGTTTTTCAAGAATGTATGACATATCAAGGCGAAATGGATTACAAAACATATTTAGATTTTGTGCTAGCTATGGAAAACAGGCATGAACCACAGAGCTTGCAATATTTTTTTAAAATACTTGATATTGATTCCCAGAAATATCTTACTGGTTTTACTCTGAATTACTTCTTTAAGGTAATTATACTTTTCGTTTATAAACTTGTATAATCATGGTTATTAAAGCATAATATATCATATATTATTATTTAAAATAAAAGTGCATAAATCATAAATATTCTATACTTACTGGGTTTGCAATATACTTTGAAATGATCGTGTGAGGCAAATGAATTGACACGTTTTTAATCAAATTCATAAAATTTTATAAAGTAAACTTGGATAAATAGGTTAATTATAAATACACGCAAAATAAATATGTTATTATGTGGATATATCTTCCAATTTTTATTCAAATATTTTTATTAATGTGTTGATTTCAGTCAATACAAGAACAAATGCAAGCACATGGAGCAGAGCCTGTGTTATTTGAAAATATAAAGGATGAAATTTTTGATATGGTTAAGCCTGAAGATCCAACTCGTATCACACTAAAGGATATAATAAACAGGTAATAAAATTATTTTGATTAATTTGATATGTTAAGAATTCTTTAGAAACCTAATTTTTTTTAAAAGATATGGAATGACTGCATCAATTTATTATATATTATTTTAAAATATAAATTCTAATAAAAAAATTTCAGCCAACAAGGTGATACTCTTGTCAGCATTCTTATAGAGTTACATGGATTTCTAGCTTATGAAAATAGGGAACTAGTTATAACTGACACACCGAAAGAGGAGTCAATGCAGGTTTAAAATATTATTTAATTGGGGAATCATTTTGTAATACTTATTTTATAATAAAAAAACTTAAACTATTAAAATTAAGTAACTTAAATTTTACTTTCTTTTTTTTTTAATATTTGAAATTCAATGATTTTCAATATATATCAAGAAATTATGGTTTATTTTCCATATTTTTCAAACAAATTTTTACACTGATGGAAATCTATTGCTTCATAATCGAACACAGATATCAGTTGATTAATTATGTTAGGTTCCATCCAGTTTTTGCTGTGAGTCGTCAAAATTATTATATTAGTACAATACCCAAAATCTTGTCACTCTTAGTTTTGCACAAATATTATTTGTGTACTGTTTCCATCATTTTTGAATAATAGACAATGAATTTAAAAATATGAAAAGATAAAACTATAGCAAAATAAGAATTAATGAAAAAGCGTTCAATCATTCAAAATTTGTTTTGCATAAACATAAATCATTACAATAAATTTAAATATTAAATAGTTATATTTATATGTATTGATTAAATTGAAATTTGTAATTTATTATGGTTTTATATGAAAATATGTAATTCAGGCGGATGTGTTATAAACATAGAATTATTTAAGGTGACCACACGTCCCGGTTTGGCTGGGACAGTCCCGGGTTTCCTTGTGTCGCGCGTTTTTCTGAAAGCATTATATGTTTCAGATTTAAATCTTTTGATAAGTTTCAGATTTAGATCTAATGAAAATATGACCACCTAGTTTATTAGATTCTTCTGAATTTGTTATTATTACATTCTTCTCTGCTTGACCTTCCCAAATGATTTCATACTTAAATAAATAAAAAATACATAATGATCGATGAATTACTTTTATTAATATGTAAAAATAAATTACTTTTATTATATATATTTTTTGAAATATTTATTTTTGCTTCTGATTATTATAAAATATAAAACGCTTTCACACTATATAAATCAAATTGCAATACTTTTATTGTGAAAAATTAAATAATGATATATTGAGTTTAGCCAAATAGTTGATCCAGAGCCTTTTCAATATCCCAATCACAGCATGAGAGCATGCTTCTCGCATTATCGCTTGCAAATCCCAAGTCGGTTAAGTTACGAACTTTCTCATCGCAATCTGGGCAAATATGGGGCCCACCGGCATAGACATTTGTCCAATGTTTGGCTGTTAATTCGTAAAGATCACGTCGCCGTTTAAATTGTTTCGCTACCATTGCGTCCTAAAAATAAGAACAAGGTTATATAATATAATGGCAAATAGTCTTTAATTTTATCTTATCAAACTTTTTTAAAAGGAACCATACCGAATATAATTTTGACGACCCAATTCAAAGCAATTTTTAGTTTTATTTATATTAATTAATTTATGTGGGGAATGATTAGTCAGCGAAGCACTTGAAGTCGGTGGTAAATTCAGTTTGAAAAATCCGTTGACCTCATGGTATTATTGAAAAATAAATCATGGTTCATGACAATCAAAGCTGCTGAATAAGAAATGATGTCAGAATAAGATGACGATACCCTTATGATATCCAGCCTTGGAAGACATGAACTGCTTTAATTAAGTACAAAAGAAGAATGAAGTTTAAGAAAAAACAGATTCTACAAGAGATTTGGAGTCGTCAGTGCAAATTAGATTTAAACATCGAGAAAATATAGAGTTAAACTCTACTATTTATATAAATGACATTATTTAACACGTGACTCGCACGGGGCGGGCTACACAGCAAAACATACCAAAAAATCGGCCCCGCCGCGAACGTGTTAAACGAGAAAATCTCTGGAGTAGTATAAGAGTTGCTGTATTACTTATTAAATGAGATTATAATCTGTTGCAAGTGATTTAGTTTCCCATAGTTATACACCGACTTTCAATAGCAAGTTACAATATTATTTGAAGAAAACATAATAATGAGTAATGAAAATATGAAGTTGACTATCAAAGGTATCTTGTACTCTTTTTTCTGTAGCTATTCAAATTCTATATATATATTGTATAAGATTTCGATAAAATTTTAATATCTATGATATTTATTGCTGTCGCATTAGACAATTAAGACTAATATCATCTTTTATTTACTTGGGGATCGTCCGCTTCTGCTGAAGATAACAACGCTTGTATTGACAACAGGGCTGTTCTTAAAGTCATCGCCGCAATCCATTCGTCCTTCAAAACATCCAAACATATAACACCTGTCACAGAAGAAATATTCGGATGCCAAATTTTGGTGACAAATTGCACGTGCGGTGGCTTAAAAGGGTACGATTCGGGTATATCAATCCTAAGAATAAAATGTCCTCCCTCATAAGGTGTGTCCGGTGGTCCGATGATTTCTCCCTTAAGTTCTGTTAAACTGTCGTGAATCATTTCTATTTTTATTGTTTCCGAAGAATTGCCTACATTTTTGCTGGCTTCTTTGAATTCGCGCTTTATGCGCTGCGATGCAATATTTGACATTTTGATTTCTTTAAATTTCACATAATTTTGATACTGATTAATCTAATTTGAATTCAAAAATCTTATGTTTTTAATGACAGAAGAGAAAACAAAAACATCGTATGGAAATTTAATCTATCATTATTAATCATTATTAATTTTGAAAGCAAATATTCGGAATACATTTTTACCAGGATCACACATCTACTGATCAGTAGATTTGATCGATTCAGTCGATCGACTGAATCATCAAATGTGGTTATTAAAGTTATTGTCTTTTTTAACTTCCCGAGTTTTCGCCAGAAAATCTGATTTCTTAATTTCAAATGATCTTCAAATATCAATTGATTCAAATCTCATTCTGAATCGAATGAGATCAACTTTGGTAAAAGTATGTGAGCCGATTTTTTAACACTTTGTCGACGTTTTCTAAAGGGCGGCTGGAAAACTTCAATTTAAAAGCTATTCGATGTAGCTTGATTGAGCTCGATAAGGACTAACGTTGATCATAGTTTGGCGCGAGGTGGCCGGCCAAAATTAGCAAAAAAGTGTAAAATTTTTGTTCCACGTAGCTTATTCGAAGTAAAATAATGGTTCGTAATCGTACTTAATATTTTTCGGTGAATATCTGCCGGGCTATTTCTTAATGATTTTGATAGATTTTGCAGTCTGGAAGAATCATACTAAAATATTAAAGGTATAATAAAAATATTGTATGTATTATATTAGTCCTCACTTAAAATCAGTTAAGCGGCGTTTCCACCTAAAATTTTTGGTCACACCCTTTTAGAGTTCTTCGTGTATTTTTGGTCAGTCAAATTTTGTAAATTTGATGACTTTAAATAATTTTGCTCTTTCCCGCCACTTTAAATAATAAATCTGACGTTTCACGGTACATCCTCGAACAAAAAGATTCAAGCCCTCACTGCTTTGAGGCGTTCCTGTTCCTGTTCGTTCTTCTTTGTATTTTCTTGTTCGACATGTTCGTTCGTTAGATGTGGCGCACCTTTAGCAACGTCAGTGTTATTTTTGTATCAGTTGACAAATTATGTGTTTCCTCTTTTCGTTTGTGTTTGTACATTTGTTAATAAAGTTTTCATTATGAAATTGCTCTTAAATGCATAGCCCGCATAGCCTTTTGACAAAGTGATTAGAACAGCTTCAAACTCAGATACAGAACATAAATAATACGTAATGCATTGACAGATTAGTCTAATCATATTATACTTTAAGGAAAAAGACCATTTGTAGGAAATTGTGTAATGCAATCATGTATATGCTTCTACAAGAAATACAAAAGATTTAGAAATCTTCCAGCTGTATAAAATTGGATTACCACTTATTTATATTTCGATTTGATTGTATATTTATTATAATATAATTATATCAAGTATATTTTTGTTATTATTGTATTATTACAAAACATAAGACGATTGTTTATTAATTTTCATTTCAAATTTTGCGCCATAAATTTGAATGTCAAAAGCAGCGCCATCACGTCTGAGCGGAGGACCCTTTAAGTATCCCTTCTGAACGTAAAAATCGGGAAAGAGAAAGGTCTTTAATTCTAATATTTGTAATATTTTCTAGAGGATAATCCTAGACAATATAATAAAAGTGAGGATAATAGTCCTAGACAATATAATAATAGTGGTATATGGTCTAACTAGAATTGATTATAGTTTAATTTTAAAATACTCATAAAGATTAGATCTTAACCGACCTAACCTTTATGAGTATTTCAAACTACGTTTATTAAATTTATCCTATATTAAAATATTTAATAAATATACCTTATATTAAATTTATTATAACACTTAATTTTATATTATCTAGGCTTGTGATTATTTCAATAAGAGGCGAAACTTCACGTAGTCGATTATTTATTTCGAATATTTTGACATATTGTTTATTGATGTATTGGATTATCGTTAAGTAGATATTTTAAAATTATATCACTATATTTAATACTGAAATTAATTAAGGTGAGTCATACCCTTCGTTCAAAAAGATAGTGTTATTTATTTTAATAGTTTCAGTTTTTACAGTATGGGTCGCAAGTGTATAGTTTCTACTTGTACAAATACTCGCAAACATGCACTTTTACATCGTTTTCCACTTTATGCAAATGTTAGAGAAGAATGGCTTCGAAGAATTGGTAACCCAGAATTGTTGGCAATGAGCCATGGACAAATTGATGCTAAGCGACTCTGCACTGAACATTTTAGTGAAACTTGCAGATTTCCTGGGAGTTGGAGGAAGTCAAATCTAAAACTAGGATCTTTGCCAACAATTAATATGCCAGGTTTCAGTGGTGATCCTTTGGCAAAAGAAAATTGCTTGATGGAAGTAACACATCTCACATATAAATTAAAAAAAACCAAAGGTATTAAAATAAAAACTTTCAACTTTATTAGTAAATTCTTTACACATTCTTAACACATTTCTATACTATCATAATCATATCTTACTCATTTGATATTTTTTTTTAGAATGCTTGGTAAATCAAGAGCCATCACAACACACAGAAAATATACCCGCACCTGCACCTATTTTGCTAGCAGAATCTACAGGTTATATTATATGAAATGAATTGTTAGCAATATTAATGTACTACTATATAACTTTATTTCCATTCAATTTAGCTGCAACAAAAATAGCAAAATCTACTATGGAGATGTCAGTGCCTGTCAAATTAACAGGTATTGGTTCTCATTACATACAGAGTTTCATTCTTTGGCTTTATATAAATAGAATCAAACATTTTCTTTTTCTTTGTGTTTTTTCTAATTTTAATATAAGGCCTTGAATGCCTAATTTTAATAATCTTTACTGTTACCATAGTCAAATTTCTAAACCTAATTTCAGCTCCTTCTACTACGTCTATCATTAAGAGCAAAATTCAATATCGCTGCGCCAAATGCAAAATCACATTTATATTTAAATCAGAGATTTTAAAGCATGTACAGCAAGAACATATCAACACAATTAATAAAACCAAAAATAAACTAAAGTATGGCTGCCGATTATGTAGCAAAAAATTTGCATATAAAGAATCAGTTAGGTATCACATATTATCAGAACATAAAGAAAATTTGCAGCCACTGTTTAAAACCAATCGAGACGCTAATGATTCGATTTTTGAAGAGCAATCTAAATGTAAACAAAACATTGTTGATAACACTTGTTTATCGACTTTGTTTGAACCTTCAGAAGTGAGAATTTCACCTTCGAGTTCTTCATCGAAAGCTCATAACATAAATATAAAAAAAGTAACAATAGGAGAACTGCCAAATATAGAAACATTGAATCCAAATATTTCAGGCATACTTTTGAACCAACAAAATGCACTTGTTTCAGACCTTACACAATTAACAGATGCTCTGCAAAATTATCAACTCAGTTCTGATATAATAAAAATTGTTTCCCATAAATTGAAACCTATTCTTGCGCTTGTTAAAATGGGCATTGAGAATAAATAAGTGTTTCATTATAATAGTTTTATTGATCAAAAAATATTTATAAAATTAGTGGCTATTCAAATATTTTATATATTGTTGCCATCATAAATTATACTATGCTATGCCATTAAAAATAAACAATAGAGGTTAAACGTTACCTGTTTTACTTTTACTTATGGATTAATCATCAGATTGAGACATATCTGTTTAATACTTTTCTTATGATTTTGCTTTTGAATAATGTGGAAGTTGTAATTTTTTGGTGTCTTATGGCTGATTATTCGCATAGATATTATTTTGAATAAAGAGAGAAAAAAGTAAAAAAACATGTTAAAAAATTTTTAGGTTTTGTCTGCATATTAGTGCATAATTAATTCAATATGTATAAAATATAGCAATCCTGGTTTGGCGCTTTTTAGTTGTACTCTATTCAGTGGGAATGAGCCAAAATATGTGTGAAATTGTGAAGTTATCGAGATAAACCGTTTTAGATTAGATGAATTTGAAAACTATCAAAGAAATGTTAGTTAGTTTCGAAGCAAGATTAACTGAGCAAATAGAAAACAAAAACATTAGTAATAGTGATTTGATAATGAGCAAATGAATTTTCCAATGGTGTTTTGTAAGTATATGGTCTGTAATTTCAGTTATAGTGATCTGTGTTCACTAAGGACTAAGCCAAGACCGCTTAAAATTATCTTTAAGGATAATAACTTATCAAAGAAAATTTTGTTTAACTGCAAGAAAATTAAAGATAATGCCCACTTCAAGAATTTGTTTATCACTGAAGATCGGACACCAAGGCAACAACTTTATTATCAAAGACTGAAAGCTCAGCTACTTGAACGTGAGAAAAAAGGTGAAGTTAATCTTAAAATTAAATATATTAATGGCGTTTCTCGAATTGTTTCTTTAAACTAACTTCGCCCACAAATAGTAATGTCTTTACATGTTACTATCAAAATGTTCGTGGTAACTCAACACTAAAATTTCTGACTGCCTGCTTGCATCTAGTAATCTTGGTTATGATTTCGTCGCCTTTTCTGAAACATGGCTTAAAAACGGTGTTCACAACTCTGAATTCTTTTGCGACAGTTTCAATGTTTTCAGATGTGATCAAACTTATGGTATCAACAATAAATATCGTGGTGGTGGTGTACTTCTTGCAGCTAAAAAATATATTACTTGTGAACCTTTGAAATTGAACTTTATTTGTGAATCTCTTCCAATGATTGTTATCGTTGGCTGCAAGTGTATCCTCAAGAATTCAAGCATATTAGTATTGACCGTTTACGTTCCACCTGATATATCTACTGAGAATTTTGAAGCTTTCCTTGATCTACTAGAATCTTATGCTTCTGACAAAAATGTTTTAATTATTAGTGATTTCAATGTTCATCATTTTGATCAATTATCTCATAATCTTACTAATGTAAAATGTATCTTAATTAAGATACTAGATTAATCTATAATTTCAAGTAACCTATTAAACAAAAAAAAACAACATAAAAAACTAGAATATTTTAAATGTTAAAAATAACAATATTAAATATGTTATAATAAACAGTAACAAATATTTTTCGAAAACAATAATAAAAATATATAAAATTTATATTCATTACAATTATTAATTTCATATTTTCAAATGAAACACAAATTGAATATAAAACTATTTTTAAATGATATTAATTAATAATAACAGATGGAAATAAAAACATCTAATTTTGGTCCAACTATTAAAGCTAACCAAGCTATACCGACACACCAATATACATAAACTTTATTACATAATTCCAAATTGGGATGACAATTTTCAAATACAATTATATTTTTTTTTTGCTAACAAACAACTATTAGAATTATAGTTGAGCATTATTAAGCTCTGATATTTTTTTTATCGAGATACTTCCAACATCTTCATTCTCAATATTCACAATTTGTCTTAATTTCATTGTAGCCCATTCAGTATGTACTATTCCACCTTAAAAACAAATGAGAAAGGTTAAAGCAGAATTTATAATAGTTATTAGTTAACAATTGTTAACTAATAACTATGCCATATACCTTTCATTTATTCCTTGTTTTGCTGTTAAAAGCCTCTCGATATTCTTTTATATTAATCACATAAGCTATACGAGGCAATTTAGGATGCAAACCAAGGCTTAGAAACCAATCCTAAAAATAAATTATTACAATAATAAAATATAAACCTCAAAAGCCATCAGAAATTTAAACAGTTATTTACCTTTAGTATCTTGTAGCATTGTCGAAAACTAAATTTTCATATCCATATAATAAGCTCTAGTTTTTTTGAGACATCTGAGAGCATTATTATATTGTCTAGGTCTGAGAGTATAGTTCCATCAGAGCAGTCCGAGTTTGAAATGATGTGATGGTGGTGTGTTGTATACCCTGATGACAGGTGACATGAGACCGGATGACACTTCAAGCAAGCGCAAGGTTTCTTGGTCCGCAGAGCGTCATTGCACAATCCATTTTAATCTCAGCCATCGCTGGAAGAAGATCTTGGGAAGCCAGTAGACACTCCAGTTATAGGAAGCCATTGGACAATCAAGTGGTACGTACGTGCATTTGCCACATGTTAGTCGTTTTATTTTGCCATTCATTGTACCGTGTCAAAGTAAAAGGTTGTATGGCCGAGTATATATTAGTATTTTGCATTAGTCATTTTATGTAATGGGCTTGAGAATTATTTGTGGATTCGAAGCTTATGCAGGTGTTTACATGATCTTTCCCAAGGGTGCTACAAATACCCAACACTACATAATGACAGATTCTGATTGAGGTTAGTAACAATTTGAGAAGAAAAATGGCGCGTCAAATCTTTTACGATCATAGATGAATATCGAGTGTTTTCATGCAGTTTGAGAAATTATTGAGAGAAGGACCATTGATATTGCTTTGATGCAGATGGTCGTCTTTCAATTTCATTAGTGAGTTGCTTTAGTGGTGTATATATTTTTTCTATATTTGCCTATATCGCATCAATTGGAAATCTTATCTGAATCGCTAGCGAATACAACATTTATTTGCTTTAACTATCCTGGCTCGTGATGAACAAAAATAATTATGATAAATCAGATTCGACCATAATAATGTGATTCTATTTCGAAATTGTTGTATTTCAATTATTCTCCAAAATTCTTTATAAAGATTCTGTAATGCTAATACAATCAATGTTTTTTATATGAAATATTTTGTAAGTAAATGAAGCTGATCCATTAATTTTAATTTAATGATTTTGAAAACAATGTACTTTTTACAATTGAATGTCACGGTCACAACGAAATGTATTCAACATATTAAAAATATTTAGGTATTATAATTATCATTCATACATTTTAACATTTCTACAGCAGTTTCCTCTTTCAATTATAAAAGCCTCTGAATTTTTATATAATACCCTTGATGACAAGAAAATTCTGTGCTGATCCTGATTTTTTACTTAAGACATAGTATATATTATTGTTGACGGCTGCTACGATTTAAAGTTTCCTAGGCAAAATGCATTGAGTCTAAGTCATGTAAACACTGAAATAATTTTATTTCTCATGACAAGAATTACTGTAATAATTAGTCAAAGATACATGCAATATTTAATTTCAGATAGACATACAAAGAGTAATCCAACTTAGTATTACCTTTTATATTTCAGCTCTGCTATAAAATAGAAGCTGTCGACAATAATCAAGTAATTGTAAGTCAACTCTGGAAATAGAATCCTGTATTATCTTACTAGCTTGCTTGCTGCAGTAGACTTCTTTGCTTTATTAACTATCGGTAAGATAACAAAACAAGAAATTCTTATTTCGTAAGATACAAGTCCAATTATTTAGGTTTTGAGAAACCTAGAGTATAATCATGCTTTTTAATACACACTTATAAAATACTACAAGGACAAGCTCAATACATAGTCTTTCCAGAAACATACTCCAAGCTTCAAATGTTAACTGCTAATGCTTACAGTTCAAACAAAATATGTAAAACTAATCACAAAATTATCAACTCATATCATATCTTAAAATAATTAAATATTCAAAATATTTGTACAAGATTTATTATATAGGCTCTGTATTGATACTTTTTTCTTGATACAGGTTGCTGATGAACCACAATTAAGGATGCCATCCCATAAGAGACGATATCTGCTGAGGGATCAAAAAGACTTTTCTGGAAACTGAAATTATTAAACTGAATACATGTAGAGACTTCAAGGTATGCAATTTATTTAATCATTTGCTTATTTATTCATCTTAATATTTTGATATCGCCATTAAGAATTTATTCATATTTTTTTCATTTTATTTAATTTTTTTTTATATATTTTAACTTTCCATTATTACAATAATACTTATGTCACTCAAATTAATTTATTAATTCAATTATTTACACTATATCGCAAACATCATGTAACGTGTCTTAAAATACCGCTTACAAATACTTCAATGTTTTTTATTATTACTTACTTATTCACGAGTTTAAATCATTCATTTATTTATGCATACAAATGATATTTTTTGCATTTTACATTTTTTTACTTACCCATTTAATAATTATAAACTTTCTGTAGTTCCTCTACGATTATTTTGCATATCTGTTTTTGAGAAAACGTCGATTTACGGCAAAAAATCTGTTCACACACACATGCACACATACACACATACTCACACACACACATACTTTTTCCAAATTTGGTCTCATTCCATTCAGAATGGCTTGAAACGTTGAGAAAACATAAAATTAGCGAATCGGATTTTTTTATGAAAACATAAACTTCTCCTTCGGGAAGTTAAAAATCAAAAACTGTTCGAAAGATATTAGTTGGGAATGACACTGATTAGTTTTAGGGAAAAATCTACCGAACCATTTCCTTGTAATTAACTGTTGAAAAAAATTTAATCCGATTTTTATGGAACTTTTTTTGATGATATATATCATGGCCTTATAGAATTTACTGAAATATTTCGGCCTTACGACAAGTAGTTTAATTTTAAAAATTCATCAAAGTTTGAGAAAATGAGTAGTTGTTTGACGTTTGTTAAAATTAAAATTAGACAATTTACTTGGTATAACGATAGAGTACTTGGTCTCGATGAACACACTAAATCATTAAATTCCTACAGAAACAGGTTCAATTATAAAAATTGTTGATTTTTGAAAATTTGTTTTTAGAAAATACTCCGAGTTAACATGTTTGCTATGTGTAATAAATCCACTCGGAATTCTTTTAACCACTCATAAGTTAATTTATTTTTTATTAAATCAATTATTTATACATTTCTGGAAGTTCATGTAACTTGCCTCAAAACAAAATACCAATACAAACTAGCTTAGTTTGTTCTTTTCAATTTTGCGATTTTTCATATAAATTATTTATTTTTTTATTCATTTATCTATTTGTTTATTTTTACTTTTATATATTTTTAATTTTAATTAAAAATCAAATAATATAATTTAAATTAATTTTAATTTTATTGATAATTGTCTAATCGGACCAATTCGAATTTTTTTGCGCAGGATGTCATTTCTGAGCCGTGTCCAATGGCTCCGCCGGCGACTTGATTGGTCCACGCGATTGTCAAGTTGTTCATTTGCGTGATGGGCAGCAACGCAAGAGGACCTCCAGGACGAAGGGAGAGGACCTAGGGAAGTACCCAATAATAATAAGTGTGTTATGAAAACGAGCGAAATTAAACAAATCATTGTCGGGTTCTCATTTATTCATTCGCGTTTGCTTCCATTGTATTTAAATTTTGTGCAATTTCTTTTAACAATTTGTGCCATTGACAGTAGATTGTGAACGGCATACGTAGTTTGGCGCGATCGTATCATATTTTTTTTAAGTACTACTTTGTTAGCATATATGTAATGTCATGATTCAGATAATTACTTGCATGCTAATATAATAGTTTGGGGTAGTAGTAAGTTATGTAGGTATCATTCGTAGTTCTAGTTTTGACTGACACACTAACACAATAATCCACTATTAAACAAGAATGTAATAATCTGAATCATTCGACATTATGTATTACTTATGTAATTATTAAACTATTATCAATTATGAACAACTGCTGCTGTTTGCAATCCATATAGCATTGCGCCAATTTATTCATATTCTGATATGCATAAGTTGTTACATTGATGCATTAACTTTGTTTCATCACTTTTAGGGCGTTCTTGGAGGCCACGATACAAAAATCAATTAAGGACAAAGTGTGAGCACTAAATGTTATCAATCCATGAAATATGTAGTTTGAATCTGGGTTTTCTATATTTAATTTTAACCTACACATAACTTTACCTACTTCAGCAGTATGTGTTATTTATCAAACATTTTAAAAGATGTATTCTAATCTCTTGTTTTTTTTTTTTGTTTCAGATTAAATTCTCCACTACTGAATCAACTGCCTCATTCGACCCAACCGACTCTAGTCAATCAAACAGTAAGCTCTTATCAAGTATCTATCAGGCTGTATGTATCCTTTCTAAAACATTTTAAGAGATGTAATCTAATCTTTTTTTTTTATTCCAGATTAAATTCTCCACTACTGAATCAACTGCCCCATTCGACCCAACCGACTCTAGTCAATCAAACAGTAAGCTCTTATCAAGTATCTATCAGGCTGTAGGTATCCTTTCTCAAACATTTTAAGAGATGTATTCTAATCTTTTGTTTTTTTTATTTCAGATTAAATTCTCCAATACTGAATCATCTGCCCCATTCGACCCAACCGACTCTAGTCCATCAAACAGTAAGCTCTTATCAAGTATCTATCAGGCAGTCTGTATCCTTTATCAAACATTTTAAAAGATGTTCTAATCTTTTGTTTTTTTTTTTATTTCAGATTCAATTATCCACTTCTGAATCAACAGCCCTCATCGCCTTTAATCCATCAAACAGTAAGAACTTATTAAGTATCTATCAGGCAGTCTGTATCCTTTATCAAACATTTTAAAAGACGTGTTCTAATCTTTTGTTATTTTTTTATTTCAGATTCAATAACCCACTTCTGCATCAACAGCTTTCATCGCTTATAATCCATCAAACAGTAAGAATTTATCAAGTATCTATCAGGCAGTCTGCATCCTTTATCAAACATTTTAAAAGACGTGTTTTAATCTTTTGTTTTTTTTATTTCAGATTCAATTATCCACTTCTGAATCAACAGCCCTCATCGCCTTTAATCCATCAAGTAAGAACTTATCAAGTATCTATCAGGCAGTCTGTATCCTTTATCAAACATTTTAAAAGACGTGTTCTAATCTTTTTTTTTTTTTATTTCAGATTCAATTATCCACTTCTGCATCAACAGCCCTCATCGCTTATAATCCATCAAACAGTAAGAACTTATCAAGTATCTATCAGGCAGTCTGTATCCTTTATCAAACATTTTAAAAGATGTGTTCTAATCTTTTTTTTTTTTATTTCAGATTCAATTATCCACTTCTGAATCAACAGCCCTCATCGCCTTTAATCCATCAAACAGTAAGAACTTAAGTATCTATCAGGCAGTCTGTATCCTTTATCAAACATTTTAAAAGATGTGTTCTAATCTTTTTTTCTTTTTTTTATTTCAGATTCAATAACCCACTTCTGCATCAACAGCCCTCATCGCTTATAATCCATCAAACAGTAAGAACTTATCAAGTATCTATCAGGCAGTCTGTATCCTTTATCAAACATTTTAAAAGACGTGTTCTAATCTTTTGTTATTTTTTTATGTCAGATTCAATAACCCACTTCTGAATCAACAGCCCTCATTGCTTATAATCCATCAAACAGTAAGAACTTATCAAGTATCTATCAGGCAGTCTGTATCCTTTATCAAACATTTTAAAAGACGTGTTCTAATCTTTTTTTTTTTATTTGATTCAATTATCCACTTCTGAATCAACAGCCCTCATCGCCTTTAATCCATCAAACAGTAAGAACTTAAGCATCTATCAGGCAGTCTGTATCCTTTATCAAACATTTTAAAAGACGTGTTCTAATCTTTTGTTATTTTTTTATTTCAGATTCAATAACCCACTTCTGAATCAACAGCCCTCATCGCTTATAATCCATCAAACAGTAAGAACTTATCAAGTATCTATCAGGCAGTCTGTATCCTTTATCAAACATTTTAAAAGACGTGTTCTAATCTTTTTTTTTTTTATTTCAGATTCAATTATCCACTTCTGAATCAATCGACTCTAATCAGACTGTAAGTGCTCATGAAGGATCAGTCGACAATCAACTGCTGGGGTTTTGGAACATTAATTCTTATAAATTTGCACAAGTGGTTCTTTTTGTAACTGTGTTTAGTCTTATGCATGTTCTTACCAGTAGTGTTACTAACTCATTAACAATACTAACATTTTAATAACGTAGTTTGATCAGTTACAATAAAAACCACTTGTTGCAGTTTACTTAGGAAGACTTAGTGAAACGGCTCAGAAGAAAACACTTGGTGAATTACATTTTTATAATGTATTATAGTAGACTGAATTATTACTAATTAAATGCTTTTGTTCACAGGGTAAGCAATAATCGCTTCAGGATGCTTACACACGTGCCTACATTGGACTTATCTTGCTGTCAGAAACATTAACTCAATGGTGTTCCTAGAGAAGATACATGCTGCATTCAATCAAGGGTTATGATTTGGATACTTATAATATATTCATCTAATTATTAAATAAATATATTGTTTTATTAGTTCAAATTGTTGTTTGAATTTTTATTAATGCTTATAATATGTTACTTATAATATGTTACTTATAACATGTTACTTATAATATGTTACTTATAACATGTTACTTATAATATGTTACTTAAATTATATAAATTATTTGAATTATTTTGATGTCATAGGTGTAATAGAAGAATGTCATCCGTCAGTTGTGATAAATCAAGACAAAGTAAACTGATTGGCTCCATTGTGAAGATTGCGGATACAGCAGTTTAGACATTAAAACATTCGTTGGGCAAAGAAATAAGTATTAAAATATTTTTATACTTGATATATATACTTAAGAATTATGTTAAATAATTTGTTTTATAGGCTTATTTGACGAAACTTTAGGCGGTCTTCTGAATGATTTGCACTCTGGTCTCACTTTACTCGAACGTCTTGGATTTTGGTCTCATCTTGCTCGAATAGCCTGCGGCCTGATCTTGTACTTGTAAGCCCCTGGTCTTGTACTTGTAAGCCCCTGATCTTGTACTTGTAAGC